ACTCAAATTCCCCTTTCTGCATATCAGTTCCTTGTTACTTCCTACAAAAAATGACAGACTTGCCCTTTTGTTTTTTTAATTAAAGAACAAAATTTCTTCTTAACTCAGTTGACAGAAACCGGGAAGAATGCAAAGCGTGAGCAGACCCTTCCTTTCCTGGTGTTATCAAACAGCACGTCGTTTCCGCCTCTCTTCACCACCACGCTCAGGACAGAAGACCAGGTCTTCTGAGCCTCTGGGTGCATGGTCGACTTTGGTAGTGCTACAGGTTTCTGTACAAAACTGAAGGCCTGGTTCCTGAAGCTGCTAAATAAAAAGTAGCTATTTTCCTCAGAAGCAAATGCATGACTATTTTTGGATGTGTCAGATGGGAAAGAGCCATATAAGAGTCCTGGGACTTTGGGAACAAAGAGGAGACCCAGCCCAGGATTGGGAAGCTCTTATAATTACAAGAATACAAGGCTTTGGGAGGGGCAGAGCAACTGCATCTGGAGGGGTAGCAAGATCAATCTCCAGAAGTGGCAATCCATAGGCCTAGACACAACTGCATTTTGAATAAAGAATTTGTGTCAGGGATTGCCTGGTAAATAATAATAAGTGGCCAGAAAGTAAGACGAGGGCAAAATCATTTGCAAAAGGCTACACACTGCTAAGCATGTTACTAATGCAGAGTATCTGCTCGGGTACCCTGAGTATCATCAAAAGAGGGTGTCCCGTAAGAATCAAATGTAGCATGGGAACTTCGATTATATCTTGGTTGTTATGTGTGTGTATACTGGGGGTGGGGTTGGGGGGAGAGCAGCCATAAAAGATATTCTTGGAACAACTAGGGAAGTTTGAACACAACCTGTGGTGGATGCTGCTGGTTCCTCACCCACTTTTCCTTTACCCAGCCTATGCATCCACCCTCCCCGCTTCCCCTACTTCCTATTGGCTTCTAATGGCTCATAGCTGTCGCCTTCTTTGAAGAACTGTCCTAGGCCACCTTCCCCATAGCCTGTAGATAATAAGTGACTGACAGAGGGCTGAGCCCTCCTGCCTCACAGCAGAACATACTCTGTGACACAATTTACACTCCAGAGCTCCATATGGAATCAGGCTGAAGCTTTACTCAGTAGCGCACACATCCCTGCTTAACTCCTTCCCCTGCCCTATACTGCTTTCCTCTCTCCCCATCTTTTGAGAGAGCACCTTCAGTATGTTACAGGCACCCAAATCCCTGTCTCAGGCTCTGTTTCTAGGAAACCTGACCTAAGACACAGACTGAATATTTCATGAAATAATGAAATTATTGTTATATTTCCTTAGTTACTATTACTGTAAAGGAGAATGTCCCTATTTTTAGGACATGCAGGCTGAAATATTTAAGGGTAAAATATTATGATATCTTTTAAATGGTATAGCTAAAAATACATACTCACATACAAATATCGACAGATAACACAAGTGTGGCCAAATGCAGAGCTAGGTGGTGGCTTTAAGGGTGTACACTGTACTATTCTTTCAATGTTTCTGAAAGTTTGAAAATGTTCATAATAAAAGTTTGGAGGAAAAAAAAAAAGAGGTGTGTCAACGCAAAGCCTGCTTGTTCTTTTGTGGGCTGCCATGTTGATTACTGACATCCAGATCGGGCCAGCAGTCCAAACAACACTTGCCGTCACCCTGAATGCATATTCTCCTTCATTTCCTCCCTGAGGCTGGTCACCAGGTCCTGTCAGCTCCACCTCTGAAATAGTCTTCTCAGCCTATCTCCTCTCGCATCCTCCCTCCCGCTGCCCTAATTCAGGCTGTTACCTTCTCTAGCCTGGACTAATGCAGCAGGCTCTTCACTGGACTTCCTTCCTCTAGTGGTACCACCTCAGATCTGTTACTTAGCAGCCAGGCTGATCATTCTAAACTACAGTTACTACCATATTACTCCTCTATTTAAATTTTTTCAGTGTTTCCTCACTGTCTACAGTAAGATAATCTTCTAACTCCTTGACACGGTAACAAGAGGCTCTTGTAACATGGTGCCTGGGTTATATCCCTAGCTTCCTTCCCTGCCATTCACCCCCACACCCTGTGTATGATCCATCCTGAACAACTTAAGAATGCCGTGATGTTTCCTAGCTTTTGAATCTAACAATACCATGCTTGGAATGCCTTCCTCACTCTGTACTGCTAGCACATTCCTACTCAGACTTCAAGAATTAAATTTTACCTCTTCTGAGAAGGCTTCCCAGAACTATCCAGGCAGAGCTAAGCGGTCCTTTTTTTTTGTGTCACCATAGCTGCCCTCTTACATACAAGATTTACCACACTGTTGTAACTGATTGTTTATGTGCCTATTTTTTCTCTAGTAGTAGTGAGACTCAGGAAGGCAGGGGCTAGATTCTACTCATGTTTGTTTCCCTAGCATCCAGCAAAGTGCTGGCCACTATACTCAATAAATCTCTGATGAAATGCCAAACATTTTTTAGCATAATGGACTTACTACAGCTGGTGAGGGCACGTGAATGCTTGGGACAGATCGAGGCCGCACATGATTGGCCAAATGGCAAAGAACAACACCATCAGTCAGAGCTGCTCCAAGATCGCAAGGTAGAGATACTTTCAACCGGTACTCAATATGCTGCAAGAACAGAAAAACAGGTAGTGTATTAACTGAAAAGTGGTAAGACACACACGACATAAGTTACACTGTGATACATTTAATTAGACGTTAAGATAAAAAGCAAGTAACTTAAGTACCACAATATCTATTTTACATTTCTATCCTAAGTCAATAACTTAAAGAGATCTAATATATATTGAATTACAGCCAGGCTTCAGTGGTGCAAAGTACAACAGAAATCCAATTATAATTTTCTGATAAAACACAGGATTCTCTTTCAATTCCAAATTAAACAGCTGATCATTATATATATGTAAATATGATATGTGTATACATATATAAATTATTATAACTCTGACAAGATTTCTTTACATGAGGCAGAAAGGAAATCAATTTTAAATGAGTAGGGCCAGGAATTGAGCTTTATAGAATAACCTGTCTCAATCAATTTCTTAGTAAATAGTTGAAAACAATTTCCTTATTAGCAACGTTTCTTTTACATTCATCACAATACATAGCATAAGGTCAGTACCTGTTGATTCTATTAAAATTTAAATATCAAATGAAAAAGTGATTACAGGATTATGGTCTATAACAACATCACAAAAAAGTGTCATTCAAAGATAAGTACACACTTTCCGTAGTTGATCTATTAATTCCAGCTCTTCTTCTCGCTGTCTTGAATCTTGCCTTGTTATGCTATCTGTAGAATCAGTGGCAGGTGCAGAAGATGACAGAAGGGGTGAACCATGACCTAGAACAATATTAATATGTAAGATATTGTGTTGTACATAAGTAATACGTAAATATGTACACACTCCTGAAAGTAAAATTGCTGGTCATACAGTATACAAATGTTCGACTTTAGTAAACAATGCAAACAGTTTTCCATATTAATTTAGAGTCCACCAGCAGTGCGTCTGTTACATTAAAAGTAGTTATTTAAAAGAACAAGGAATCCTGGTAGCGCAGTGGTTAAGCACTTGGTTGCTAACTGAAAGGCTGGTGGTCCAAACCTACCAGCTGCTCCATGGGAGAAAGATGTGACAGTCTGCTTCAGTAAAGATTCCAGCCTTGGAAACTCTATGGGGCAGTTCTACTTTGTCCTATGGGGTCGTTCTACTTTGTCCTATGGGGTCACTATGAGTTGGGATCAACTCCATGGCAATGGGGAAAAAAAATTTAAAAGAACTTCAAATGTTATTTCCACTTCTAAGTAACTTCTCCTTTTGGGGCCGGGCAAATAATTTGTCATAATAACCACAAGAATGTCAAGATTTAGTTAAGAACAGGGAAAACAGCTTTTGTCAACATAAATCAGAAAAAGAGCTCATTTCACAGAGAAGGAACACACTCTAAAGCCCTGAAAGGGCCTTTTACCTGTTCAAACACTATAACCTGCTTTTAGGTGGTACCAAGAAGCTTTCTTATCAAAACAAATTCGAAGATTTTCTGGCTTTAGTCAATAAGATTACAGACAAATGCAATGGGTTTAAAGCTTCTGCCAAGGAGACAGTTCAAGCCAGAGGTTCAACATGTAACAATTAATGTCATTGTTTAGCCCTCTTGCCCTTTTTAATCACTACTGTTGTTGTTATTAGTTGCCATCGAGTCGATCCTGACTGCTGGTGACCTATGTGTGTGCAGACTAGAACTATTCCACAGGGTTTTCAAAGGTGTGACCTTTCAAAAGCAGTTTGCCAGGCCTTTCTTCTGAGGCACCTCTGGGTAGGTTTGAACCACCAACCTTTCAGCTAGTAGCTAAGCGCTTAGCCATTTGAACTACCCAGGGACTGCTTGATCACTACTACTTACCTTTATTTGTTTCTACCCTGACAGCTGCTCGGAAAAGGAAGCTTTCAGGGCGTTGGGGCTGGTTTCTCTGGATAGCAGCAGCAGGAAAGGAATATGCAGGGGAATGATGAACTAAATCAGCATGGAAATGCAAAATAAGATTAAAGGAGATGGAAAGAAAATTAAATATAATAGCAGATGTGCTTGTCACAAAAGTTCAATAAGCAGCAAACAAAGAAAAAAATCAAATTAAATATGGCAATGATATAACATTATCATTTTATTAATGCAAAGTATGGTACGGAAAAGTTAGCATGAAAGCAGACAGGCTGGCTGCTTTTATGTTTTTTAATTGTCATGTTATTTTTGGTATATCAATAAAGGCAGGATGAATACACAGTTACTTGCAAAGCTAAGGTCCTGCTGGCTCATACTCATTTGTTAGAGCAAATGGCTGAGTAGGTGAAAAAGCAGTTGGTTTGAAAAATGGAAAATGTGCAGAAAGTTCCCCATTTTGTGTCTAATGTCCCATCTCAGAAAAAGAAGTGGCAACTATTTAAGAAATAATTATCAGGAAAATCCTGGTGAAGAATTATTAATCTTCATGTGGTTCACTGCACCTTTGTGTCTATTACCTGTTTCTGCTGTAGGTGAACTTGATGAGGCATTAGATCTATCGTCACTCTGTAGAGAAACACGTATGTCATTAATTATTACTCAAGAAGAGGTACTTTCCACATTTATGGTAACTTTGGGATTATAAAAGAAAAAAAAAACCCATGCAACTCTCTTTCAAAATTAAATCTAGAAATGAGTATTTGGTGAAATGAATTAATTTTTTAAGTCACACCCTCCTCACTCCCCATAAACCAAACCTTTTATTTTACTGTGTAGAATGCAAAAGGTTTATATAATACTTCCTATAAAGAGTCCCATTATCTAGCAGGCTGTCCTTAGACTATGAAAAGTGATCATCCTAAGGCAGAAGTTTACTGGGAAATGTGTAGGAAAGAGGCAAAATTTTATAATAGTTTTCTGGAATAGTTTCCAAAGTACTTTTTTCTTTGGAGAATAAAATTGAATGTTTTAAGAAACAGTGATGGATGTTTCCTCATTTCAGTTATGAAAAATGGTGTTTTAGAGATGATAGTGTATTTTCCAAGCTAGTATTTGAGTCCAAGATATTTTCAATTCATTGACCAAAGGAACTGTAAAAAGGGGGAAGAGCTAGCTAAACTGGGAGAAAGTTTATCTAAAACATGGGAAAAGCAGTTAAGCTAACTGAAAAAAAAAAGTTGGTTGCTTGGGTTAAAGATGTTGAAGACTTGGCAGGGGAGGAGAATCAAGAAAAGCTGGAATAATATGATCAAAAAATTTTCAGACCCTGACATCTAATTACACTCAATAATTTAAATATGTTATAACTTTATGATAACCAAGACACATTTCTGTACTAATAATGACTTTAAAATTAACACACATGCATACATCTGCTTCCATTCCTTTTTTTTTCTTGGTCTCAATATTTTCAGAAATCTTATATCTCTAGCTGGACTTGGGTCAGATAAAATTAATAAGGAATTTTAACTGCTAGAAAAAAATAAATAAACAAAAGCCACTGTCAAGAAAATTCTTGGAGTGATCTAGAGACAATTTTCTGGTATGGATTCCTTGGTTTGATACTTGTAGACTGAGAATTAAGATTAAAAAGTAAGCTGCACTCTTGAATAAAGTAATGTATTACATCTTCATTAATGAAGACGACAACATATCTATGAAGCTTATAGATGCAAATAAACTAAGTTCAGGATGTCAGGAAGAAATGGGAAATTAAACAAGAAATATAAAACAAAAGCAACAGGAACTAGTAAAAGGAATGAACAGGCAGACAAGGCAAAAGTTGAATTTATCTTTATAAGAAAATAAAGAACCACCTTTCTTTTCAAGGAATGTGAGATAGGAAGGGGAAAGCTAGTTAGCTAACCAAAGATCTGCTCAAGGGTCAGTGGTGCAAATAAGAAACATATTATTCTAGATGTAAAGGAAAAATAGTTTGCAAAATAGGAAAAGACCTATTAAGAGTTAGACTAGAAATGTAAACATATTAAGGGATAAAGATAAATACAGCAACTTTATTAAACAGAAGAAAGAGCTGAAACAAATGACACTGAACAGCAGTGAACGTGCTCTTCCTCCAGGAACAGCAACAGACAACACACAGTTGAGTATACTAAAAAACAAAAGGGACTAGAGAGAGCTTATAAAATGATAATTTAAAAAAATACTTTTATTGAAACTATAACTGGCTCGTTTTCTAAACCCAAAAAAACTCACTGCCATCGAGTCAATTCTGACTCATGGCAACCCTACAGAACAGAGTAGAACTGCCCCACAGGGTTTCCAAGGCTGTCATCTTTATGCAAGCAGACTGCCACGCCTTTCGCCGAAGAGCAGCTGGTGGGTTTGAACTGCTGACCTTTCGGTTAGCAGCCTAGCACTTTACCGCTGTGTCATGAGGGCTCCTTACTTGCGTTCTAGGATATTAAAATAATCAGTTCAAATCATTCTTGGGTCATTAACTTTACTTGGGAACTCTTGGAGAAATAGAGAGAAAAAAAAAAGACTAAGGAATAATCTCAGAAATTGACATGAACTCAGTTTCGAAAATAGAAGAAATAGAACTGTGTCCAAATACACTGTATAACTGCTGTAAAGTAAATGTGACACCAAAAACTAAAGACTCTTTTTAAACTAATCATTTGACAGTGCAGCAGGTCTGACTGATAGAAAGTTAGACTTGTCATCTATCTTAAATGCAGTAAAGTTTTAGATTTAAATTTCACACGATATTCATAATAAAACAAGAAAATGTGGTCTGGATTACACAGCATTTCGCACATTTCAGAATAGGTCTTTGTCAACTAGGATTCGGGGATAGTATAAGCCCCAAGGCCCTAAGGTTGCCATCGAGTGTTACGAATTAACTTCTCTCCTATGCATCTGGCGTGATACTAATTATATATCTTCCTTGGGAGAGTTTTGAAAAAAGTTCCACAAATATCCTGTGTTGTCTATATGAGGAACCCAAGTGAGGAAGGCTGGAAAAGGGTTAACAAAGAAGAGAATTTTTTCAGGAGTCATGTGTATATGTACAGCACCTTCAATAATGATTAGAGAAAAGGTTTACCAGGTTTACAGATGTTATAAAGTTGAGAGTCAGCACTTAGAAGGACATGATATAAGAATTTGAAAGTATCCTGGTAAACTGGAGAAGCAAAAACGTTCAAAAAGCAAAATTAAATATTCAGAGAAAAACAAAAGATACAAGATGTGGAAATTAATTATCACTTAGGAGTATAACTGACACATTTGAGACCTACAGTAGATTTTAAGCAAAACGAATACCAAAACTGAAAAAGTCAACCTAATAATGCTCAAGGTAAGGCACTGAAAAGCCCTTTATTTCATGCTCAGCACCAGGCAGGCTCTTACTTCTAGTTTGGGACTAAAAAGCCAAAACGGAAAGCTGAGAACTTGTGAAAGCTCCTAAGGATTAATGGGCTAGAAAAAGCATGTAAAAGGATCTGAGTTTATTTAGGAAGAGAAGACAAGGGTGATGTTGTAATCGTTTTCATGCAGAATTTCAAATATAAAGATTACAAAGTAACTAGAAAATCTCTACTCTGTAAAGAAAGAAGAAATAAGCATAAACCACAGCAGGACAGATGTAAGTCAGACAGAGAGGACAACCTTCTTGACAGTAAGGATTATTAATCATTTATTATGTATCATAAATTAACAAATATGGAATTATCATCCCTAGAGGCCTTCAAAAAAAGAAAATACTACAGGTTCTTAATTTTTAGAGTCAGATTTAATTTTTTCAGAAGGTGGAATTTATCATCTCATGACATTACTGTTGGTATAAAGCAGGAGTTGGCAAATTTTTTCTTAAAGGGCCAGATAATAAACATTTTAGGCTTCTTGGCCATATGATCTCTCTTAAAACTATTCCAACTGCTGTTCAGCATGAACGCATCCATACATAGACAAATGGAAGTAGCTCTGTACCAATAAAACTTTATTTACAAAAAAAAGTGGCCTTGAGGTCATAGTTTGCCAACCCCTGCTATAGAGGGTTTTGGCAGTGATAATTTTGGGGACTGGGGCTCAAATTATTTCACATGACACATCAGACAACAGTTAATTTAACATTACATTTTAACCAAAGTAAAATAATAACTCATGACCAAAAAAAAAAAAAAAAAACCTGGGAAAGAAAATTAGGATTACATTTCAAACACAATCTGAATATAAAGAATTAACTCTCTATAACCATTTCTGGCATGATAAAACTGTCAAAATTTTCAAGTGAAATCAATGTTAACAAGTTCAGATGGTTTTATAAGCTTAGGTATACTTCATGCGATCCTAGATTTCAGATTGTTAGACCAATCCATTGGAAAATTTAAGATCTCCCGTGCATACCTTCCCTCCCCAAATTTCCTGGTGAATCACAATAACAGAGATACCTTAAGAGGCGTGAAGGCAGAAGAATGAGGCAGGGTAGTAGCACAGCCCACTTGATTATTCAACCCTGACAGCGACTAAATTTCAAGAGGAAGAGAAGAAACAGAAAGCAGCATTTATGTTAGCAAAATGTCAGGCAGGCAGATCTGGTCAGTGAAATTAGAAAAGTAAAGTCAATTGACAACTCTCAAATGTTTCACTAAGATATTCATAGGGGAGAAAGAAAATATTTGGGAGGAAAAACCCATAATTTGTTAGACAAAGTTTTCCCACTTAACATATTTTGAGACATGCACAATACCTCACAGTTCATTAATCAAGAAATGAGGCATGATTTATTAAAAATGATTTTCTACCATTTATGCAAAAAACTGAGAACATCATATTTTTAGCAAAATAGCTTTAGAAACTAATGAGTCCTGTGCTGTTCCTATGATGGGAGGTGGCGGGGGGGAACAAATCCATTCAAGAGCTAATTTTAACTGAGCAGAACTATCATGTATAAGAAGAAAATTTTTTCAATATTAATCCAAATTAGATTTATTATAATTCATTTTAATGTCTCTGATATGAAGAAGGCAGGACCTAAAAATTCTGCATCACACCCTGAGGATGAACCAGCATTTCATTTCAGCCTCTGTCAAAGTCCAGATGACCTACGAGAAGACACGGTGGAATTTCCCTTCTTTTTGAATCCTTTACCTCCTCATCAATCAACATACAACTAACTACTTATTCTCTGAAAAGGTTTCTCTTCTGGCATTGCCAAACCCTTACAGAAAGTTATAGATTTACTGAACACATGTGCTTTTGCAATTTATGTTGTACCAGAAAAGAATTCTAAGGAAAAGGGAAGGTTAGAGATATTAAGTGTTAGAATCTATTGTACAGAATTTTGATTACAGGTAAGACCATTTTAAAATCTGGTGGGGAGTGGAAATCAGAGAAGACAGGACTCTCTTGAAGGGTGTGCTAAATAGAGTTTACCTATTAAAACAACAGAATACTAAAAGCTTAAAGATATTAAAGCCTTTGTAAGATAAGTAATTAAAAAATTTAAACTAGATAACCAATTTCTGAATCATGGAAAAAATTAACAAGAACACATGTGGTCATTTAGAAAAAAGTACGTAGGTGGCCAATAAAATAAATACAATTCTATTTTTAATGAGAGCTGATAGGAAGCAATGTCTTTTTTCGACAAAAAGCATTTAACACATAATGTGCAACAGTTAAGGAAATTACAATAACATAAGCTACGTTAAGGCAGAAAAGCAAATGAAGAAATGAACGTGGTATCAAAAACAAGACTATCACAACAGTAATACACTGTATATGCTTCTCCTATTAGATTTCCTGGGCCGCCTTAATCAAAAGGACTAGAAATTACTGTCAATGTCAAGCACAAAAAGGCTCAAAGCCAGTATGCTGGCAAAGGGCAAAAGGAGTGGAGGGAAGAAGAAGTGAAATAGCCTAGATACTCTTAGAATGCAGATTCATAGCAACCCTACAGAACAGAGAAGAACTGCCCCATAGGGTTTCCAAGGCTGTAACTCGTTACAGAAGCAGACTGTCACATCTTTCTCCTGGAGAGCGGCTGATGGGTTGGAACCAGCAACCTTTTGGTTAGCAGCTGAGCGCTCAACCACTGCATCACCAGGGCTCCTCAGATGATATACAGATGAAATCAACATGAGCTTGAAGGGCGGCCCTAAGGGGATGCTAATATGACTGATATTAAATGTTAATAATATTGCAAATGCTACATTTCAACGTCTTTAAATGAAATTCAGCATTTCTCTCACTGTATCATCAGACCTTTTCATCAGGAACCAATTTACTGCGCATCTACTTGATGCACAGCACATATATTCACTCAGGAAATACTGGGCACTCAATATATCCCAGAAACTATGGTGGGGATGGGTATACAAAGGTAAACACGACAGATAATATCCCTGGGTCCATGAAGCTTATACTCCGGTAGTCTAACAGAGGAAAGATATAAAACAATAAACATCCAAATAAAAGTACTATGAAGGAAAAAAATAAACAGTAGAGATGCAAATTTGACTTGGGGGGCAGAGTTTGAAGAAAGGCCATTTTAAAGATGAAACATTTAAGCTGATACCTGACAGCTGAGTAGTAGCTAACCAAGGTGTATACACAGGGAAGAAGAGGCATTCCATGCAGAGGGAACAGCATTTGCAAAGGTCCTGAGGTGGAAAAACCAGCAGCCATTGTGTCAGTTCTGACTCCTGGTGACCTGATGTGTGTCACAGTAGAAATGCGCCCCATAAGGTTTTTAATGGCTGATTTGTTGGAAGTAGAATGCCAGACCTTTCAAGGGTTCACCATTATCGTAGAGCTGAAAACATGCTGGCATAGCATGAGCCCAGAGATGAGACTGGCGAAGTAGACAGTAGCCAGAACATGTGGGAGCTTGTACATCATGTTACGAAGTTTGGACCATCTTTTACAAGCAATATGAAGCCTTTGAAGAGTAGTTGTGAACTGGTCAGAAGTATGATTTAAAATACAACTCAAAAGACAGTGTTGGACACTACTTGGCATACCAAGAAATGTGAGAGACAATCCTTGCTTTTAAAGGCCATCTAATTTAGGTCAGACATGTTTACTGGTAACTAAAATACAAGTGTATGTGTTTTGAGAAATAGCTGAAAGCCATTTTAAATTGCATATTGAAGAGGTTTTGTCTGTTTTTCCAAATTTCATTTTTTCCTTGACAAGAGTCTGGGTTCTCAGACTTAAATCACTTACTGTATGTGTTCTTAAATCTCATCTTCAGTTTCCTAAACTATTTTCAGTTACAGTAAGGGAAGCAGTACAGCATGGTGTTGAACAGTATAGGTTCTCAAGCAGCCAGAATCTAGATTCAAGCTCAGTCTTGCACTTACGCGCTAAGTGACCTTGCACAGGTCTTTTAACCATTCTGTGCCTCGAGTAGTCATTTGTAAAATGGTTACAAAACCTCCCACCTCTCAGGGTTGTTGTGAGAACTGAATGAGACAATTCTGGTAAAGTATCTGGATAATCAGAGACTCTCAGTATTTTTCTGCATGAATTTAAATTATTATTTGTTTCTTATGCCAATTAATTCCCACTAAAACTCCAGAGGCTGGTAGTGAATTCATCTGTAAGACTGCCCAGTTAAAATGTGCTTTATCCACCTCAATGTAAATGATGATTGCACGATACACAGGCATTTTAACAGACAAGGGGGGCTAATGTAACAGAATCTCATGCTGAAGCATGCACTTCATGCAGTGGTATGCACAATGGCAGCAGTTACTGGATTTCTGAACTGCTAGTTTTCAATACTACTGTGAAAAATAACATAAAACATGATAAGAAAAGCAAATAGAATTGTCTTGCAAGGCTGAAAAAAGTAAGGCTTTAAACAAAGCTCTTATACTAATTTTCAGCTGATGGAACAGGCAATAAAAGGAAACCAGTGTTGAAAATGATCAATAGATAGCATTCCAGCTCACGTATTCCTGAGTTAAAAAAATGGGTATGGAGGGATAATTTTGAGATGTAAGAGATGTAAGTATTTAAAACCAGCCTAAGTCTGGGATTTACAGCAGTTTAAAATACGTAAGTAAACAGGATGCCAAATATACAGTTGTATAATTAACACCACAGAGTAAGGCAATCCAGTTAACACACAGGTGACTCATGGGTCAAATTAATGATTTACAGAGTAAGTACATCTGGAACCAGAAATAACATTAAAAAACTGTTATGCTACACACATACACACACACACACACAAAGTCAATATGGTTCTCAATGCAAATGTTTTACTTTTGGAAGCACTGACAAAGATATGTGAATCACAGCTGCAGAGCTCTGGAACACTGGATAAACCACAAATGGGAAGGTACGGAAACAGTTATAGCTATGTGTAAAGCATTTAGTAATGATATTCATCATGTTTTATGATATTTAAATCATTTCTAAGTGAAAAGTGCAAGAGCTGGTCTTCAATCTCTAGATGTAGCAATTTCAAACTCCATTTTTTGCAAAGCTCTTACCACTAGCAAGGCACTATCATCAGTGTGCTGAGACCTTCTGGATGGGAAAGGACACTGGAGAGGTGGAGAAAAATGAAGCAATGTCAAAAACAAACTGTGCACACACAATCTATTTCACAAATATACACAGGGAAAGACACATTTGCGACATACTTGCGAAGATGCTGACATAGAGGACCACATTCAAAATCATCTGGAATTCATGTATCATAACAGCTAATAAGTTCACTCTGAGCAGTGATTTTCTTCCAAAGAGTTTAAACAACTTCAAATATGATCTTATTGCCTAAAAACCTTCTAAAGCAAAGAGGGAACAAGGACTATTCTCTGTTCACAGAGAGAAAACTAAAGTACAGATGAAGCAGTAACATAAAGAATTTGTGGTCATTTGGTGAATCTGTAACAAAATTGACCAATAATGCTGAGGCTACTTATGTACAACCAAACACCTCATGGGATTTGGTTCGTTGGTTTGGAGGTTTAGGGTCATGGTTTCATGGGACATCCCAGTTAACTGGGCTAATAACATGTTTAGTGCTGCTTGTTCTATCTCCTGGTTCGCTGTGTAGTGCCTGGGGTCTTAAAAGCTTGCAAGTGGCCATTCAAGGCAAAATCAGTCTCTATTCACCTGGAGCAACAAGGAAGAAGGGCAGTCAGGAATAAGAGGAGGATATGAAATACGTGGCTAACTGCCTCCATGAATAACTGCCTTGTTTGCCATGAGACCAGAAGAACTGGATGGTGCCCGTCTACCATTATTGAACATTTTGATCAAAGATTCCATAGAATAATCCTGATTAAAAGGGGGAAATGCAGAACAGAATTTCAAATTCTCATGGACTCGACTTCCTGGAGCTATGGAGACCGGATGAAACCCTGAAACTATTGCCCTGAGATAATCTTTAAACCTTAAACCAAAAATATTCCCCGAAGTCTTCTTAAAACCAAACAATAGTTTAGCTTAACTAGTAAAAAATGTCTGCCTTGAGAATTATGCTATTTTAAGGACTATCTACATGGGATCAAACTGACATCAGCAACTCGAAAGGTTAGGAACCTTGGGGGGCAGACAGCTTATGTTAATGAGGGAGGAACAACGCAGAAAAGGAGGGTGAGAATGGCTGCACAACTCGAAGAATGTAATCAATGTCATTAAATTGTACATGTAGAAATTAAAAAAAAAAAGAGAGAATGTTAACAGATTGTGATAAATGTAACTAATGTCATTGAACAATCTGTGTGGAAACTGGCAAATGGGAACCTAACTTGCTGTATAAACTTTCACCAAAAATTCAATACAATACTATTAAAAAAATTTTTTTTTTGAACAATTGAGTCCAAGAGTCATGATTTCCAATGTAGGCATCTCTTCATTACCCTCTTCAGACAAAACAAGAGCATAATTAAAAATTTAGAAGTTGTACATTTTATTTTCCCACAGAAGCTTTAGTTTTTAGGTAATGAATTACCCAAAACCACATTCAAGAAGTAAATATTGGGATAAAAAAAGGTAAAGTGTATTAAACTTATAAAACTTCGGTTGTAGAAGGTTTGTGCAGAATTACTACCATGGGCGGAGCCCTGATGGCGTGGTGGTTAAGACCTTGGCTGCTAACCAACAGACTGGCAGTTCAAATCCACCAGCCGCTCGCTCCGTGGAAATAACTTTTGGAGAAACCCCGAGAGTACTGCCCCCAGACACCCTTTTTAACTCAGTACTGACGTCACTCCTGAGGTTTGCCCTTTAGCCATAGATGGGCCCATAAAACAAAACAAGACTAAATGGGCACACCAGCGCAGGAGTAAGGACAAGAACGCAGGAGGGGACAGGAAAGCAGATAATGGGGAACCAAAGGCGGAGAAGGGGAGAGTGTTGACATATCGTGGGGTTGGCAACCAATGTCATAAAACAATTATGTGTATTAAATGCTTAATGAGAAACTAATTTGCTCTGTAAACCTTCATCTAAAGCAGTTTAAAAAAAATGAAAAAAAAAATTACCACATGAAAAAAAGACAACTAAAAACATCTGAGTGAATCTATCAGATATTATAACAATGATGTTTACATATAAATAAATAAAAAGTAGTATATGTGCAATAAGATTTTAAAAACTTTATAATGGACTATTTCAAACAATACATCTGCCCATACCAGAAACACTTGTGCTTTAAAAAACACCGTGCTAGAAATAGATGCTTGCATAGTCCCAATGTGTTAAGTTTTCAAATAAGCTATTTTATTAAAAAAAAAAAGTCAAAATTCATGTGAAAACATGCTTTTATGCCTTTTTAAAGGAAGTAATAATCATAAGTTGAAAAAACTGTAAGGTGTAGGAAATGGTTAATGAAAACATGGCTTCGAGCTGGTTTGTTCTAGTTTGAACCCCTGCTGATAATTTGCATTTCCACCCCAGATATCCTGAGTCAGAATTCACAGTTTAACAAGATCCCCAGGTGATTCTTATGTATGATAAATTTTGAGAAGCACTGCTCTACTAATGGTTCTCAGAGCTGGTCCCTAACCAGCAGCATTAGCAGCGCCTGGGAACTTGTTAGACATGCAAATTCACAGCAGGGGTTTGAACCAGACCTAACGGGCTCATAGCCCTGAATGAAAAACCAACTACAATAAAAATATTCATTTAGTAAGCTTCATTTTAACCACATCAAAATAGGTGTATAAATTTTTAAAAGGCTAAGCAATTAATTTTACATGATAACTTGTAATGAAAATGTACTACTTATAAAGCTAACATGTACAAAGCATAATCAATACATATACACTTAGGAAATGACCAAGTTGAAGTGCTATGTAGAATCTTTGTTTAATGTCAATACACCATTCACAAAGGCCAGTTACAGCCATCAGGACTACCTCTCATTACAGAGCATGCTACTAAAATCGATGAGGGGGATGACGCTTATGGGAGGGGCTGGGGAAAAGGAAGCAAAATAATCTCTAGGTGGATATGTATAGATTTAAAAAGACCTCCTCTAGAGATTTCTGATAAACTCTTCGTCTGTGTCTTCTTCTCCCTCATAAATAAATTTTGTGAGGGGGCAAAAAGAAAATGCAATATTTTGATCACTGAAAACACACGATAACCACATGTAAAACATTTCATTGCCATTGCAGTAAGAGTAAATTGCAAAGGGAAGGCGATTACATAGACTTACCTCACCATCTAAGGGGGCTTGTTTCTGTGGACTTTGTGATGCTTTTTGCTGTACATCCACCCCCGCCACCAAAAAAGAGAATTTGGTTAGAACCTTGAAAACTAGAAATGATAAATTTTATTTACTAAAATAATCATTCACATTAATTTCTATATCTCTACATAGCACTTTTCTAGGTTTACTGGTTAAAAGATGTTGCCCCTTCTCTTAAATACCTTACAATTTAAATGAGGAAAAGCAACAAACTGACAAAGATTATTTTCATATATCTGTAAGCATCTATAAATAGAAATAAAGACTAGATGTAAACATACACAAGCACATTCACAGAGCGATGATCTCACCAACCAAATCATTCTCTAATGACTTCAAACATCACTTCCACTGCTAGCAATTCAGCTCTCTCCTACCACCCAAATTTCAAGTTTGTATTTTCAACTGCCTGTGGAAATTCTCTACTTGGAAACCCCAATGTCACCTCATATTCAATATATCCAGAAACAAACCCACAAGTTCCCATACTAGCTGCCTCTTTTTCCCAATTTGCCAATTTCTGTTACTGTATCAAATAATAATATTATGAAATCCGTAGAATCAGAGTTTGACACTGTGTTCTTATATATAGTATGTCAAGTGGTTCTTATTTTTACATTATGAGATAAATAAATACTATCATAATCATACTCATTTAAAGATAAGGAAGATAAGGATAAGAAAGGTTATGTGACATGTGCAAGGCCATGTTGGTAGGTATCATAAATGAGATTTGGATCTAGGTCTTCTAATTCTAAATCTTACATTCTTTCATTAATGCTAGACACCCATTAAAACTACTCTCTTAGACTCAAAACTCTGCTTTGAGATCCTTTTTTAAACTAATCTTCAGTGATTTATTCAACACTCGTTACGTATCTTTGTCCAAACGCATAAATCTCACTGATGCTTCTTTTGAAATCTCTCTTACAGTTAACTTACGCAATCCACTGTGGTGGTAGAGGATGCAGCACCCACCATACTAGGATTAAGTATTAGGTGCATCCACAACAATTCTGAAATAGTTAATATTTAATAGTTATATATTACACACGAGGAAACGAGAAGTACAAAATGGTTCAGTAACTTCTGTAAAGTCAAGCACACAGTGAGCGGTAAAGCTGAATTCAAATTCAGATACTTCTGATTCCAAGCTCCTAGTGGTGTGCAACACTGTCTTCCCCTAGTAACCTTAGAAATCATCTAGTTTTACTCCTTCATTTTGCATCCTAGCCTAATCACTGCAATTGCTTATTTCATTTTCCTCCTTCTAGTCTCTATCATCCTAACGTCTTCTACATGTGAGTAGGTTTGTTTTTCAGAAATATTTCTCTCCTCATATTTTCTTCTGCTTAAGAACTTATGATGGTTCTTTTTGACTAATAGAGCAAGATTAAACTCTAATTTGAAAACTAATCGAGATTGTCTATAATGACAGAGATTGAGGAAATGGCAGCTGGAGAGTTAAGTGTTATGTCTAATGATGGACTGTTGGTCAAGAGGAGACTATGGTCATAAGAGCAAGACAATTACTTCTGAGCATCCTCATGTCTATCTGCATGGGGACAATCTAATCACAAGTAGGAGACAGTCGCACAATTTAGTCAAGATTCCTTATACTGAGAAAAAATTATAATTAAAAGTTGAATTCACTTAAGATAATAAAAACTAACAGTCTCAGCAAAACAAGTAAGCACTTACTTCTCAGTAACTTGAGGAGCATCGTTCAAGGGCTCGATGACTCACCTTGACAAAGTCCAGGACAGCATCTCTCTGAATCTGCTTGGTCCTCAGCTTTTCCTCCTCATACTGGAGGGCAGCCCGTTGTGCCTCTCTCCGAGTGCGCTCCACCAACTGTTCTCTTCTCCGATGAAGTTCCAAGTCTGTGTGTGATAGCTGAAACAAAAGTCTTATTTTGCACATGCAAGTGGAGATATGGATCAACTTATCAATATTCCTAAACAATTTAAGGAACTATTACTAACCCAAGCAACTTTTTCTCTGTAGTCATCTAGCGCTTCTTAAAATTTATTGCTTATCTTTTCCCAGCTCTGCATTGTCGTTATATGTATTATAAAGCCATCACGTGCATAAAAGTTTTATTCTTTGTGTCGTGTCTAAAAACACTGTTGCTAAGTATCATGTAGTCATGTTATATTAACTGTATGATGGAGGAGACAGGTAGTAAAGTTTACATATATCTGTCAATTAATGGCAGTTTAAGTACTGCAAAACAAGAAAAACATTTCAGTTAAAAAAATATAAAAACTAAACCAAAACAAAAAAATCCTAGAGTATTCTGAAAATTACCTGATTGTGACTTGGTGATACTGACAAGAGAGAAGATGGATCAACTGGAACCCTGACCCAAAAAAAGAGAGAGAAAAAGGAAAAACTCTTTGATAACAAGACAGACATATAACGAACAAGTGAAATCTTACTGTTAGAGTAGATTTCTATTAATCAGTAGGCAAACTGCCAAGCCGCACTAAGAGTAATTGCATTTTAATTTAATTTGCATGAGCTCGAGTCATTAAATGAAGCTATACATACCTGATGTCTCCAACTCAGGTTTCCCATGGTAATATCACTGGTTAACCTATCGCTAGCCACCAACTGTCTGTCAGCCAACGCTGATGACACAGTTGAGGTCACTTTTTCAAACTGTCTCATTTCTTTATAACACACATACGTGTTCTCTTCTTTTCTACCACGAATGAAACAAGATACATGTAAACTGAGAGCCTTTTATATACGACGCCAGTTTTATCAACAGAAATCTCAAACACAACAGAACCTGGTCACCATACTTGTAAAGCACTCCTATTCTTATTTTTCAGGTGATGAAGCAATTTTAACAATGAAAATAAAAATTCTATTTATTTTCCTTTGTAAGAAAAAGATGAAATCTGATTTGATGATTAAAAAAGTAATAATATTTATCTCTTAGTTTTATCAGTGTTAATTCTTAGTTTGGCATCTGTTTCTTTCCTGACCCAGATTTAGTGTTGCAAGTTGCTATGACTCTAAGTGGAGCAGTACCTTTTTGACATTTAGAACCTGAATCATG